ACCCCATTTTTGGGGTTTAGCCCATGTGGTGCGCGCTTTTGCTGCGCACCCCCCACTATTTTTATTTTTTTTTTGATTTTTTTTTTTGCGGGGGAGTCTGGAGCCGGGGTTGGGGGTGCCCACCCCCGGACCCCCGGACCCCCGCCGGGGCCCCGTGGCCGGGGCTTGACAACCCTGGTTATATCCTCGTTTCCTTGACTGATGTACTTTCGTGTATCCGTCAGGTCTAATTCCAGCGCTTTGGCGATGATAGCGGCTAACTGATTCATTTTAGGAGGAACCTTTTTCTGCAACTTAGCCTTTAACGTCGGGTTTCGTAGATGATCGATGAATAAATCCCGAGCGGATTTTTCATCCCGCCCAGATTTATCCAGCGTAGTTTGAAAGCGATCAACGAAATCGGGCAGCAACTTTCCTGGTTCTTGTGGTCCAGTTTTGAGTACATGTCAGGCAGCGTCTTCATTGACCGTATCGAATCGGGCCAGGAATGCCTGTTTGAAGGTATTCCAATCTACCCAGTGGTGCTTCCTAAACCAATCGTGTGCCGTGTTGCGAAGCAACAAGGTGATGACACGGGGAAGGTCCTCCGGACTGTAATTTTGAGCTTGGACGGCTTCCAGCCAGGCTTCGGGGTGTGTATAGTTGGGAAGGAAAGGGAAAGCAGCAGGAATACTAACAATCACCCTCGGGACAGCCATATTGCCATCTGACATTGGCGTAGCCGCTCTTGCTTCGGCAAAACTAGATCTAGTAAAGGGGTGGTCTCGTCGAGCAGGTTGAGGACTCTTCTTCTTCCTCTCGCCAGATCGACTTACTTACATAAGAACCGACACGAGTCGGCTCCGATACCAACCTCACGCCCTGCGCTGTCTTTTGTTCGGAGTGCACGTAGGGGTGGAATTGGCCCCGAAAGATCAGCAAATGGGGGTGTGCCAAGGATTTTTGGAAAATTGAGTGTGGGGACACAAACAGAACTGAAATCCCCTCGTGTTGGTCTAATAGAGTAAGTCGATTGTCTCCGTGCATTGCGTAATGCGCGCGCGGGCACGGCGCGAAAAGAAAAAATTTTGAATCCAATCTAAAAAGTATTGTCGAACTTCCCACCGTGCCACTGCCTGTCGTTTAGAGCGAAAAGGTTTTGGCACGCTCCGCGTATCTCGCTTCCTTATCAAATCCCAACGTCGCTCGTTGGTTAGTTCCGAGTCCGACGTGGACGGTCTCAGTCAAGTGGCTCTTTCCTTGTGCTCTTCTTCACTCCGTATACAATAGTGGAACCCCTTCGATTCGTATCGATCGAGGCGTCGACACTCAGAGCATAGAGTTCTGGGCTAGTGGGGTACTGCTGCCGTCCACGGAGTGACCATGAGCTCGTTGAATGGCAACAACACAGAGTAAGGCGGGAAGTGCATACCGACAATAACAAACCCTGCGTCCACGAACCCTGAACAATGATTTTCGGGAGGAAAATAATATCCTCCGCCGATTTGTGCGACAACTTCTCGTATGTCCCACTCACAGACACGTGTCCTTTCCTCGTTATACGGGAAGGGAGGCGCTGGTTTGGGAGATACGGGAGGCTGGCGCCCAATCGAAACGCGCCAGTCAGTCCACATATCAATCAGCCGAATAAAGAGTGCAAAAATCCTGGACGTCATCAGCAAAGAAAATACAAAGAGACTAAAATTCCCGCCAAAAACGTTTACGGAGCCCGTACAACTATATTAATTGGTGCGGACTGGTTGGGTGGGGATGTTGGGGGACCACCCACGACTCAAGATTGATAATTTCGCCAGATGTAATTCTGAGGGGTTCTATGCCTTTTGGGGGGAGGGAGATGTCGTGCAACTTAAGGCAGATGGCATGCGCAGTGCATCCAAAGTGACATATCTAAACACTCTCGCATTCTCGGGCAAATTCAGAGAGCCCTCATCGAACAAGAGGCAACCACACCTTTCATTCACTGTGGAAGGTGCAAAAACAACCACATGCTCATCCCATTTAATGAAAGCACACGGGGAGATCACAGACATGCATCCACCGTTCACAAGACAAGACGGGGAAGTCCCGCACATTCGGGGATTACCTAGGAAACTAATGGAAGAGTTCCGGAAGAAGTTCTTCTGAGCAGAAGGTCATAGGTATTCACTCTTGCTTGCTATGTCTCTCTGATCGGAAAAAAGGTCGGGAGATACACAGATCTTAGACGAGTAGCGTCAGATTAACACTCCCAAAGAAGAAGAAGGTGAGGGAGAGAAAGCGGAAGAGTTCCGAAAAAAGTTCTCTTATGCTCGGATACATGCGAGTTCACTTCTGTTCACAGGCACTTCACACGTCATCATTCTCATTCACAGAAAGAGAGAAGGGAAGAGAGGAGGCTAAGGGAGGAGTCACACTCTGGAAATACACTTATCTGAGACACGGACCATTCGACTTCAATCTCACAAACTCATTCTCACGAGGGAGAAAGAGTATCAGGAAGGACGAGAGGAGATAGACGAGGAATGTTGGAATCACAAGTACAAAAATTCAAAAAGAAACGATCGGCTTTGCAGCCGTGCACTCACACCAAGGGGAATAAATCCGCAATAAGAAAGGTGCATCCACAGTGAAATTCCAACCTGGCCCCAGGCCAGTTAACCACTCCACTCTACTGCTGATTTTCAACCTTGCACCAACGATCCAGGCCGTCGCGTGCAACCTTCCGCCCCTGCGATCGTCACCCCGCCGACGCAGCTTGACACGGCTCGCCTAGACCCCACAGTCCGTCGTGGCGATCCAGCGCGCAACCGGCCAGCCTATAGTCAGCCCGACAGGACTTTCCGACTCGCACCAAACACATTGCCTAGCCACTACTTCCCGGAAGCTGGCTTGCGAGTTGAGAGCATGAGAGAGATTTGCGGGCGCGCTTGCGGAATTTATAGTTGCGAGAGGAGAACGGGAAGGGAGGGAAGGAGGAGAAGGAGTCAAGGTGTAGAAAGGAGGGACTCAGAGGGGAAGACACAAGGGAAGCCATGTTGGGTCCTCACAACCCGGTGCTTGGCCAATCAGATTCGTCGTGCAATAGGAAGTCCCTTTTGCTCAGCGCGCCTGATTTGTGAGCGGGGGTAATCAGAGGATCGACCGGGCTTCGTGAGTTGAAGTTGGGAAGCGGGAAGAAAAGAGGCGCGAGAAACTGCGCAAGACGRGTCCAAGATTCAGTCGATCAAGAAGGAAGAACAGGCGCGCAAAGAGGAGGGAGAGAGGGAAAAACAGTTACGATGAGAGGAACAGGGGAGGGAGGGGAGAGAGAGATAGATGATACGTGGGGGAGAAATGGCACGGGGAATAAGGAGGAGGAAGCTTGCATGCATGGCGCTAGCAGCAAGAGAAAAAGGCACCAAAACAGTTACAGCTTGCCTATGTCCTACAACATTTCAAAAATTGAAATCACCATGTCCGCGCGCGAAGTCGATGCGGGAAAAGAGAATCCTACGT